GTGTCAGGAAGAGGAGCATAAATCTGATGAAGATACAGTGAGAGGTCCAGCTTTGCGCCCTTCTCCTGTGAAATGTTCCCAAAGACTCGCGGTGGCCCAGACTGGACCCTTTGACGGCCTGGTTCTGGCCCGCGGGTTGCATGTTTGACACACCCACCCGTGGAAATGTTAATGCACAGATGCAAAATTCTTCTTCTTCCTTTTTCCTCCCTTACACCTGGACTGCACGAGGATCACCTCCCACTGATTCTCCCTCAGCAAACAGCAGGACGCCGCACGCACAGAATCAAACTTCTTATTTAATCTGCAGATTAAAGTTCTGTTTTTGATTCACTCCAAAGACATAAAATGTGACAGAAGCAAAATCTGATCACAGCATTTGTTGTTAAACGTTTATTCTAATCAAATCAACTTCTTATTCACTTTCTGTTTGAAAAACGCATCTTTGAAATGTCTGCATGTGCATCAAGATGCAGTTTAAAGCTGGAGAGCTGGTTTTAGTCCACAGGTTACAATTCTTAATCCAGATAAGTGTCCTCACAGCCATAGACGACCTGTGTGTGTGTGTGTGTGTGTGTGCGTGCGTGCGTGCGTGCGTGCGTGTGTGTGTGTGTGTGTGTGTGTGTGTGCCTACCGTGGATGAAGCTGCACAGCGTCAGGATGAGCGGGGTGAAGACGCGAGCGTCCATCATCAGCAGCGAGTCTCAGAGAAGCTGAGCGGAGTTCCTCCTGAACCGACGGCAAACACGGAGAGAACGAGAATCAACAGAGGGTTCGCTCTGAGAGGAGACGGGGTTGCTCCTCCCCCAAAAAGCATCCAAAGGAGTAGATTCAGCAGCCGGAGACACCGAGGAGGAGAGAGAGAGGTCTGTGAGTGTGTGTGTGCACATGTGAGGACAGAAACGTAGAAACAGTCATAAAACTGAGCTTTACAGAACAACACACCTTCATCCACTGCTGGATGTTTACCAGTTTGTAGTGGTTTTTTTTCTTTTTGTTATCTGGGATCTGTATGATGTCATCGATTGGAGATACAGTTGTAGTCAGAAGTTTCCATCCCCTCATCTCAGGCATGCATGCTGGTAATGTTGGGCTTTTAATCATGTCTTTGCACTGTTGTTTTCCCAGGGTGGATGCAGGCTCAGATATATCGTTCATATTTGTAGAAATGTCTCTGAGCAGGCTGGGCCTCGAGCACAGTGTTGTCGCAGCTATGAACATGAACTCAGGCTGATATCTGACTGCTCCTCTTGGCAAAACTGGTGGACTTGATTTAAATTGCTTGGTTTCCTGGGATGGACCACATTCAAAGACACTCTGAAGCTGCGTCGTCCACACCAAAACCAGTTCTGATGTGTATTTGGACTTTTGTCCACACAAAAGCATCACACAGCTTCATCTACACTCACTCAAATCTTTTAATAACAATTCATTTGTGTGACAGCACTCGTTGGATTGACCGGCACTCCGAACAAAGTCCACCCAACTCAGTGAAGGAGAAGTGCAGATTTACACAACTACAGGTTCTTCTGATGTCGCGTCCCTTTGCCGAGGTCTGGAAGAAGTCCAGCCCTGTCACTGTGAAATGAGAGGAAAGCAGTTATGATGTTCAGGAACCAACCAGGATCAAGCTCGCCATGAACAGGAAACTGCAGAAACACCAGAGACAAGATGCATGTTTGGAGGAGTAAAGGTGAAGCTTTCAAAGCTGAAAACACCAACTGTCTGCTCTGTTTGCTGTCAGGGAGTGGACGTTACACTCAGCGATGGAACAATGAGGGACGATGGCTACTTCTCCTCAAATCAGCACATAATAAATAACATTCAGTGTTGTGGCTGAACGGTGCAGCGACACCTCCCAGCCGTGAGCTGGACTCTTCATCGCTCAGCTGTCACACCTCACTGAAACCAAGTCTCAGGGACTGACAGCCCGAGGTCACCTGCAGAGTCCATTCACACTTCTGACTGCAGCGCCATCACAGACACGAAAACTGAGACGCTTAAAGAGACGCCTGGAGGAACAAAGTCACAGCCGAGTTCAAATATGTTGCAGAAAAGAACACGCTTTCCTTTACTTCCTGTCATAGATCTCCTGTTCCTGTGGACGATGCTCAGCTTAAATATCGTGAAAGTTTCAAATAAGTGCATCAGGCTACGTACAAGTACTCAAAGTCAGAACCAAAGCTGCAGACCCTCACTTTCTCACAGTTTTTCTCTTTTGGATCTGTGTGATGTCATAAAGAGCCTGGTCCTTTCAGGTACTCGGCAGCGTCACCAAACTGGTGTTCAAATCTTGACCTAAAAGGGGAGGAGCTAAAATTATGGATGTGATTCAAGCAGCCCGCGGTGGCTGACGACCCTGCTGTAAATAAAGATTATTATTGCGGCTGTGTGCAGGGAACTTGGGGTCTCGTTGCCTTGGAAATGGTTCCCTCAAAGACTCGTCTGCAACCACTCACAGTCAGCTGCAGCTCTGGCAACAACACACCCGTCTGCTTTCAGCTTCATATGAAATCTCTTTGTGATAATACAGTAATTATCTGTGATGAATAAGCAAACAATCTCAAATCTGTTGTTGTCCTTTTATACGGAGATTCACATTAACTGCTCAGACCTAGATTAGAAATCTGCTTTTAAATAGGAAAATCACTAGAAACCAGCTGCCAACCAGTTCAGCCTCTGTTGCAAAGACAGGTTCTGCACACATCTGTGCAGACGGACTCCCACAAAGGTGACATCCACAGGCTGGGGGTGTTGCATGCTGAACTTCTGAACAACCGCCAGTAAAATAAATTCAATGCAATGATTTTTACTTCTCATCTAGTCTAACTGAACCGTAACCTTTGACAGCTGGAGGATGTTAAGATCCATGAGGACTGACGGTGGTGCAGGAGCACCAACTACATCCTGCCAGCTTCTCACATGTAAGCACAAGGTGTCCTTTGTCTGCACTGCATGGCATTAAAGATTACACTCCTCACACATGGACACGTGTGAAGGACTTCAAACATATTTAAACCCTGGGTTTTACAGCCAGCATCTAGTGGCTGTTAGCGGTACTGCACACGAACTGCCTTTTATTAAAAGTCATTTTAAATTTCAGCATGTCAACATTTTGTTTACTGTCATGGAAACTCTGAATAAAGAGTCGAGTCCCCAGCGTGAAGGCGTTTCTCCGCTCAGCTGAGCGTGATACAAACTCCTGATTAATTTCCTAATGAGGGCTGAATAATTAGCTCGCTTTCTTAATGACTCTCTCCATTAAAGACAGCGGCTGGCACAGAGAGAAGAGCGACGTCTGCCAAACTAAAGCCAAACTGTGGCCAGGATGATTTTCCTGAGTCTGTTTGAGTTTAGTCAGCCCTGACAGATCCATCGCTGCTGTCACACAACGAGAAGCTTTACGCATGGAGACAAAGACTCTGTGATGGGACTTTTATTATACAGGTTTCCCCCAATACTATAATTCATTATTATCAGGATGTCATTCATTGGCTTCCTGTTAAATCCAGAATTCAAAATCCTGCTCCTCACATACAAGGTCTTAAATAATCAGGCCCCATCTTATCTTAATGACCTTGTAGTACCATATCACCCTATTAGAGCTCTTCGCTCTCGCTCTGCAGGCCTACTTGTTGTTCCTAGAGTATTTAAAAGTAGAATGGGAGGCAGAGCCTTCAGTTTTCGTTCCCTTTAACACCAGCTCCGTGTTGTAATCTTTGTTTTGATCCCCGTGTCGGGGTTTCGCTCGGTGCAGAGGTGACTCTCCTGTCAGTAATGAACTTCTCTGCTGCTGTTTCTGAACTTTAAATAAAAGAAACCCATTCCTCTTTAAATAATCACCCAGCTGGGCACAGACTGTGAAGATATGAAAGTTTATCATTGGTCTAGGTAAATCCCCTGGATCAGGTACCAGCCTTATAAGCTGTATGCAGCCAGACACTGAAACACTGATTATTGGTAATATTTCTGGTAATATTTGAGTTTTGCGCAGATGTTTTTAATCCCAGCATCCTCAGCTCAGCAGGCTCGGTGCACTCTGCAGCTTATTACCAGCTCTGCCTACAGCAGAGATGAGCACAAATGCTGTAACACATTCAAAGGAAATGACACGAGGAGCTGAAACAGCTGATCATTACACAGGCCTGGACTGCCACCTAGTGGAGGAAGAGAGAACTGCCTCTCACGACCGTTTGCGAGGAGCTGCAGGCAAAAACATCCTGAAATTTCAGGCTGTTTCACTGCCGTGGAGCCAGCTGGGTTCCAGACTTTTCTCATTTCACACTCATTTAACATCCCTGTGACTCTGGCCTTACTCCACCTGGCCTCACCTGTGCACCACCTCTATTTTCTATTCCTCTACAGAGACATGGTATGCAGTGGGGACTGTGAGATGTCATGCATGTCTCCTTTTTGAAGTTATTCACTCAGTTTCCAGAACTGAAAAATGAAGCCAATGCTAAAGTGCTAAAAGCTGCAGTTCCTCTAATGTCCACTAGGGGCTCCAGCAGCGAGCCAGGCCCCTGGTCGAGACAGCTCTGGCCTCTGTGGGTAGCTCCTCTCTTCATAACTGTGCGGTGGTGAGTCAGCGGTCTGAATGGTGTTTATGCTGAAGGTTTGCATTATTAGGGGCGTGGCCTGACAGGTGGATGGTGGCAGAGGAGGCTGTAATGAAATGCACTGCGTTTATGCTGCTGGAGCATTTTTAGTTAAGTGTAGTGAAAGATGTCTGAGTGAAAGTCGAGATTTATCTGATCTTACTGAACACGGACACGCTGGAGTTACAGGAAACACCCAAAGTAGTTGAAAGAGCATGTTTAATGTTCACGTTCATGTGTTTCTACAAAGACTTTGTGCTTATTTAACCACCGATGAGCCAGGAAACTAAATCCTGGTCACCCAGTGAGAAAGAAATCATCCATCAGGTGAGAAGGACACACGGCATTTTTCTACTAACACATCCTGTACATCCACAGTGTTTCCTGTCGTTGGCAGTTATTGATCACGACGATGCTGCGGCCAGGCAACGATCAGCTGCCCAGCCTGTCGCTCAGGTAGCTCGACGTCTTGGCGTCCTGCAGCAGCATCTTGGTGATGTCGTGCAGGTTCTGCTGGTACGCCAGCCTGTAGCGGCTGTACACGTCGTCGCAGTAAGTCAGCAGGCGCTTGACGTTGGAGGTGACGCTGCCGGGAGCGCCGTCCAGCCTGAAACACACACACTGCAGGTCAGTCCACGTCAAATTTTTGCTGTTGTCAGGTCGTTTTTCTGTGGTAGGAGTCTTACTTTTGAAAATGTCCTCAAACAGGGTGGAGGTGAGCGGGCGGTGGCGTTTGAGCTCTTCCAGGTAACCGAAGTCTCCGTTCAGGACGACCTTCTGGTACAGAATCTCCGCCCAGTCCGGACTGTAGCCGTACGCCTCCGACACCACGAACACCTGAGACACAGGAAACACCGTCATGGTGGCTCCGCCGATAGTACGCAACATTAGAACCACCTCCCGAGTCCCGGGATCACATGTGGAGAACAAATCAACAGCTTGAACTTTTCTTCAAGTCCTTAAATTTGAAGCGCCCTGCTTCCAACCAATCAGCTTCAAGAAGTGATGGAGTTGCTGCTTCAGACAGGTGGAGGTTTGTGGAAGGAAGGACAACAGCAACCCACCTGGTAGCACCGCGGCAGCGCCATGGCAGCGCTCAGCAGCTCAGCAGGTCGCAGGTTGATGATGCGCAGGTCTGATCCCTGATTCAGGAAGTGGAGCTGAAGAGCGACCAGCTTAGCTGTGCGGATGCAGCGAGTCGCCTGACGCACACACGAATCCTGACACACACACGCACACACACACACACGCACACACGCGCACACGCACACACACGCACACGCACACACACGCACGCACACGCGCACACACACGCGCACACACACACACGCGCACACACACGCACACACACACACACGCACACACACACACACACGCACACACACACACGCACACACACACGCACACACACGCGCACACACACGCACACACGCGCACGCACGCGCACACACACACACGCACACGCACACGCACACACGCACACGCACACGCACACGCACACGCACACACACACACACACACGCACACACGCACGCACACACACGCGCACACACACACACACACACAGTCAGGTCCTCTCAAGACGTTAAAGACAGGAACAGGAAGCTGTGGGAGGAGCTCGGGTACCTTGGAGAAGCTCTCTGCCGCGTCCTTCAGCAGACCCAGCACTTTGGCCAATGAGCTCTTCAGCTCCGGCGTGATGACTGAAACACAGGAAGTAAGAATGGGATCAGACCAGAGGAAAGAACCAATCGTGGAGGCTTTGGTGAGTTTTTGGCGTTGGCCGGCTCTCAGCGGGCGCTCGCTCACCCCAGGCTGAGACTCGATCATCTTCAGCTGCGTCCTGGCGGCTATTTCGTGGTTTTCTCCGATCTCCCTCCTCATGGTGAAGCACAGTGCCACCATGTTATACTTCTCGCTGTCTGCGGGGAGGCAGCGCTTTATGTAGTCCAGCAGAGCCGACTTCAGACTGGAGCTCTGCAGCGAGGGAGCGAGCGACAGCGTGAGTTCACTCGACTTATGGACACGCTGCAGGATGTTTCCCCATCCAACTGTTCCAGACCAACAACTCTCTGCAGTGCTCTCACATGTACCCAGGTAGAATCATCAGTAATTAGTTATTATAGACCTGTTTCTACTCTTTCCTGTCACCGCCCTTACAGTGAGAGCCAGTCAGGGTTGTCTATGAAGGTCCTCAGTCGTCCCGCTCATCGTCGTCTGAGGAGCCTGGAGAGAAAAAGCGTCCGGACTTCTTTAAGTTTCCCTCAAGACTTTTAATCCGAGAAGCTTCTTCAGTTCTCAGAGGAACTGTGTCATCTGTGTCCACTGTGAGCGACCATCTTTGAACAGAGGGCGGGGCTTACAACACCAGCTGTCTGCCACCTATAATCCAGTTCTGAGATCCTTCCCAGGAGCCTTAACGCCCACTCACATCCTGGGCCTTCTGACCTCAGTGAGTCACATGATGGGGCCAGGTTTCACCTGAAACCCTGGCTGATTGTGACCCACACCTGTTTTCACACCTCGGCTCGTGTGATTAGGTAGAGGATCAATAGGGGGTCCGTGACCCTCTTGGGGGGACACTCCCACAGGGCTTAAATCTGGGACGGTTTCTCTGTACAGCTTCTCGGATGAAACGTCTCCAAGGAAACTTAAAGTCCAGACGCTCTTCTTTCCAAGGTCCTTAGACCAGTGAGTCAGAACCAATCAGAGAACAGGAACAGCTCTTACTGAAGTCATCCATGAGCTGAAGCTCAGCAGATTCAGCTGCGCTTCTTCTTGATCTCTGCTGATTTTAATCCTTCGTTGGTTTAACAGGTCAGGTTCTTGATTGGCTCTCACTCGTGTGCAGACTCGCTCGTCTCAGCAGCAAATCTCTGAACTTTCTCTGAGGAACAGGCTGCACGCTGACCTGAGATCAGTTAGAGCTGATCCACATTCAAAAGCAACTCTGTGTGTGTGTGTGTGTGTGTGTGTGTTGACCTGTCCTCTGTCTGTGTCCACCTTCTTCCTCAGCAGCATCTCGAAGCAGTGGTTCTGATGCAGCAGATCGAAGACGTACGTCATCTCGTTATACCTGCCGATACCTGTCAGCAGACGGACCTGCACACACACACACACACACACACACACACACACACACACACACACACACCACACACACACACACACACACACACACACACACACACACACAGGAAAACTTACTTTTTTTCGTCTGTAATCCAACTTTGAACCCAGTAACTGAGTAGAAAGTTTCCATGGCTGGTTTGTGTAATGATAGTCACTCAAATCACTCAAGCATTTTTTTCTATCAGCTGGCACGACGTGTACGCACCGGGACGCTACGACGCAGTAATTAACATGCGTGCAGCAGCACCAGCATGAAGGGGAACAGTGGATCTGTGTTTGGGGGCTCACCAGCAGGCTGTAGTGCCCTCCTGGAGCCAGGTAGGTGTGGCTGAGGTGACGGGCGGCTTGGAGCACTCTCACGATCCCCTCCATGTTGCAGGTGAGACTGAAACAGTCGTGCGCCACGATCAGCAGCTCCACAACTACAGGAGACAAAAAGGAAGGGGGCTTGCAGTTCTTTTCAAAATAAGACGCCGAGCCTCGTAAAACCACCTCCCAGCTGGAAATGGAAGAACTTGAAGCATCCTGATCAGACTCTGAAAGTCCAACCGCACATGTGCAAAACTCATCCCACAGTTTTATTATCACAGTTTGTCATATGAAGCTTTTATACTTTGTCACTGTTTATGAGTACGTGTGTAAATGTGCATTAGTGTGCATGACAGGACGAAGCCATAACAAGGTAAACATTAAAATCAAGAACATTTCATGCTTCTTATTCAGAAACCAACACTGTTCATTTGCTTTGTGGCCTCTTGGGGGCAGCAGAACACAACAAAACAGCTCTTTACACTCGAGGTGTATTTGTGTGTGCGCGCATGTGTGTTTGTCGTACTGCAGTTCAGGTCCCTCAGAGGAACAGAGTTGAGGTGCTCCAGCAGTTTGAGTCCCACCAGGTTCGGGTCGTCACATAGTTTGATCAGCTGCACCAGCGCGTCCCTGCCCTCCAACGGTCTGAAAATGTGCTTTTCCACCACTAACACACACACACACACACACACACACACACACACACACACACACACACACACACACACACACACACACACACACATTACCTGGATGCTGAGGCCTAACACTGGAGAACTTTTCAAACCTGAGACGTGCTCTCTCACCTGGCTGCAGCTCCTGGGTGGAGGCCAGCAGCGCCTGAACCATAGCGGAGGAAATGAGCTCAGCCACGGCGTCTGCAGACAGACCCTGAGCTTTGACGAAGGCCCGAGCCTTCCTGAAGCGCTCCGGCTGCTCGGACAGCAGCAGCTTCTCCAGCACCGAGCAGGGCTCCTCCCTGCAGATGCTGCTGAAGGAGCACTGCAGCTCCTGAGGAGACGGGGTCGGACACTCCGGTAAACTTCACACAGTTTTATAAAGAAACGAGCAGAGCAGACGGTTCTGCAGGAACGTTATCAAATCACCCGACGGGAGCCGGTTAGATACCTTGGAGAGCTGGTAGAGGCTGAGGACTTGTTTGCAGTAGTTGTTGCCATGGCGGCACTGATCCACCAGTTTCTGGAGCTGGACGGCGACCTCATCTTCGGGGAGGGGGAGCATCACAAAGGAGGACAGGCTGCTGACTGAGGGAGCTGGAAAAGATGGTATTCATACTGTAATTACTGGATTAAAAACAATAACAGTTTCTGCCCAGCGTGTAAACTGCTGCCCGCATCGAGTCCTACGTGTATTTATGAGCTGCTCTGCCACCGACTCATCTCAGATTTGAACCCTTGTGGTGTGTTCGGGTCAAAAACAACCCCTAGGTGTGTGGCAAACAAGTGTATGGGAATCCTGAGGACAACACAAGGATGGAGAGGATTTCTCATGGCAGTTAAAGGTCAAAGGTCGTTGAGTTCGGTGGCCTCGGGATCTCATCTCTGCCTTTTCTGGATAATGTGGTTCTGCTGGGTTCATCGAGCGACGACCTCCGACTGCACTTCCATGAGCTGAAAGGACGACACCACAGATGGAAGCAGCAGGAAGTGGAGCTGCCGTTCCTCCACAGCTGAGGTGGTTCGGGGATCTGACCGACATGTGTCCTGGATGAACCTAGGTCAGGTGTTTTTGGGGCATGTCCAACCAGGAGGAGAGCAGCACAGACCCAGGACAGAAACACAACATTACCAAGCTGGGAGAGGGTCGCGTGGGTGGTTACCGTTACTGCTGACCCCAAAGACAAAGACTTGGACAGATGGGAGAAGATGGACGGATGCATGTTGTCCTATTACACGAGTAGTTGGAATGCAGTTGAGAAAAATAAATATACAGCATCAAAAGCTTCAATATTTTCTGCTTAATTAAAAAAATCTGTTTTCTGGAAGTTCTGCTCGGAGGATATGTGCTTTATGTGAACTGAAGGTCAGAGGTCACTTACAGCTCGTGATGCTTGCCCTCGCGGGAGCTTCAGAGTCGTCCTCCGGCGGTTCGTCGCTCAGCTCTCCGGATGCCAGGCCTCGGCAGCGCAGCACCAGCCACACGTCCGGGTGGTACAGGGAGAAATAACGGCACACCCGGCTGGCTTCATGGATGCTGCCGTCGTCTAACAGCTGACCAATCAGAGCGGCCAGAACGCTCCTCTCCTCTGGACTCAGCGCCGACTCAGCATTAGGCTCCTCCTGCTCGTCGGAGGGACCGGGCAGTCCCTCCAGCGCGAGGTACCTCTCTGTGTTCAGCTGAGTTATGTTGGAGAAGGAGAACTCCTTCATCAGCGCCTTGTGCGTGTTCATTTCAGGGTTGACGGCCGGCGGCGGCAGGTTAAAGACGCTCTCCTTCTCCATGGCGACGGTAAGGATGCGTCTGCGGATCCGGCTGAGCCACTGCGCTTTCTCCAGGCTCTCCAGTTTGTCCACGGGAGCCGGGGTGATCCGGGAGAGCCAGTGGGCGGTGAGCCCGAGCAGCAGGCAGTGCTCCTGGATGTCCAGCAGGTCCTCTGGAGCCTCCAGAGACCCTGGAGCGCCGGCCTCAGCCTGCGACAGGAAGAACTGGGAGGCGGGGTCTGGATCGGTGGCGTCGGCCTCCAGCTGCTCGTGACATTTCTTCCAGAAGCCGGCGCGGGTCTCGAATCTGCCCCACTGCCGCTTGGACCTCTGAGAGCTCACCTCCTGAAGGAGCTGAAGGAGAACCGAGGGAAGCTGCTGTTAACTTTAAAGGGAAGCGTCTCAGATTCCTCAGCCACACAGCACAAAGACTTTATACTGGGTAAACTGGGCCCCATTTACAACAAACCAAACAGAGGAAATAGAACTCGACTCTCAGTGGTGTGCAGGACCTCTCGTCTTCTGTGTCAGTAAATCAGTTTTTGAGACGTCACAGATAAATGATAGATTTTAAAGCATGCACGAAGAAGACCGAGTGTGCAGGTGGGTCGCACCTGGCTGAGCAGCAGACGGTGCACGGGCAGGCCGGCCAGCTGGGCCACCTGTCGCGCCTGGCTGTAGCACCCCCTCGCTTGCAGAGCGTCTACGGTCGCCTGGAACTCCTCCTGCTGGACGGAGGGAGAACTGCTCTGCAGGAGCCTGGGAGATATGCTGACCTCTGACCCCTGAAGCAACTGACTCAGCTGGTTCAGCTTCCTGAAATCTGGACCTTCAAATGAAAGAGAAAATGAGAAACTCAGGTTCTTCCAGAGAGTTGATGAAGCGGGTAGCTGCAGACCGTCGGGCACAGCTCACCGTTGGATTTGAGGAGTTTGTCGACGTCAGCAAGGAGCTGCAGCAGCCGGTGGATGTCGTACTGCGAGGAGCAGCGCTGCAGCATCGTGAGGAGCAGCACCGAGGCCTGGCTCTCAACCCACTGCAGAGGGAGGCCACCAGGGGGCGCAGGACCACCGTTTCTCAGCTACATAAGGAGAGAGGCAGATTAGAGACCCTTTGTTTAAAAAGCTGCTGGGTCGGGCTTCTGTCCCTGAATGACCCATCAGTTCAGAGCAATAATCACCAGCATCTACTGGAACAGCAGCAAGTGTGAGAAATCAGTTTGTAAGTAGCTGACAAATGTGACGTAGACAGAGTAAAAGTTAAAAACAGAAGCTCAGTTCTCGTGGTCGCTAACAGATGATGAGGAAAAACATGCGTTCAGGTAAACTAAAGGACGGATGGACTGATGAGGAAGGCCTGTCTTTGTCTTTTGTGTCGGGCACTGGAGCAGTCGGCCGGACTCACAGCGATGAGGGTCCGTTGGAAGTCCAGCAGCTTCGACTTGGCCTCAGCGAAGTTTCTGTAGTCGCAGCACAGCTCAAACATCCTGAGCACCAACACCAGAGGACAGTCCTGAGAGTCAGACGGAAAAACAACGAGTTTGTGTTTCAAGCTGATGCGACGAAGTGTTGAACGTTGACCACAACTGCAGCGGTCAGACCAATGGTGACTGAGGCGTGTTTTTACCTTCTGGAAGAGCTCGAAGCCTCGCAGGAGGGGCCTCACGAGGCTCCGGCCCAGGAGCGTCTTCCAGATGATGGAAAGGTCGTGCACGGTCCATTCGTGATGCTGCGGCGCCTGAGCCAGGTGGGAGGTGGCTTCCTTGGCGGTGACATCATCGACAGAGGTCAGCACCCACACACAAAGGCACGGCAGCAGCTCTGCTCCCTGAAAACATCAGGTTTCGAACATGTTTGTACTGCGGTACATGCATCACAGAGGAGCCTGTACAGGTGAAGGTGCAAACAGCACTCTCTCTGAGCACTTGCTCAAGTTTTACGCAACTTGTTTTCCACTGTTCATGCTCCACTGGATGCATCAGAGAGTAACTTGCTCCGATGTATCGTAGCACAGATCAAACCACCAACCTACCGATTAGCAAACGGCCTGCTCTACCTCCTGAGCTGAGCCCTGTAACTTTGATAATGACTGGAAAGGATAGCTGGGTGTGTTTCGCTCCCTTACCTGCATGCAGGCAGCCAGTACCGCCAGCGTCGGGCAGCGCTGCACCAGCGCCTCCTGCAGGAGGTATCTGCAGGGTGCCGGCTCCTCCTGGCTCTGCAGGAGCACCTGGAACATCTCCCCAGGGCGCTCCGGGCTCCCTGAGACCGCCTCCTCAGTTCTCAGAACCGAATGCTGCTCATCAGAGTCGCAGCTCTTCCGCTTACAGTAAACCTGCAGGTCCTGAAACGCCAAGCTCAGGTGGCCTGGAGGGTGGGGCCAAACTGAGCTGCCAGCGACCTCACCTGGAGGAAGAACCAGACGTAGATGTTTGAGAGAGATTAATGTTTATGAACCTGCAGGGCCAGGCTGACCGTGCAGAGGGTACTGCTCTGTGTGTGTGTGTGTGTGTGTGTGTGTGTGTGTGTGTGTGTGTGTGTGTGTGTGTGTGTGTGTGTACCTGCTGAGGCGGGAAGTTGTGCAGTTGGACAAATAACAGGAAGTGGATGAACTGTCCGTCATGGGCACAGTGGGCGGGGTAAACGGAGCTCAGCTGCAGGTTGTGGAGCTGACAGAACTGAACGGCCAGCGCCCACTCCTGAGCCGCCTCGTACGACGACCTGACACACACACACACACACACACACACACACACACACACACACACACACACACACACACAGAAACCTCAGCCTGTGTTTAAGGTGTATGAAGTGCCCATTTAACCTTTACACAAAAACAGGAAGCAAGCCTTGTACTTCCTGTTTAAAAAATACTTCAATAACACAATAAAAGTCTATTTCAGACATTTCCGAGCTGCAGAGCACGTCACACTAAAATGCATCAACGAGGCGGGGCTGACCTGCTGATGCCTCTCTGCTCCAAACTGTGTGTTACTGCAGCTTCCAGGTAACCAATCAGCTCCTCTGCTGCTCCAGGCTCCGCCTCCACCAGTTTCACACCTTTAGACACTTAATGAGACAGCAGAGGGGAAATGTAAAAGCAAACACCTGCAGTTCCTCTAATGTCCAGCAGAGGTGCCACAGTGAGTCCATGTTCAAACTACAGCCTGATAGAAAAAGCTCATTTTCCCCCATTTGAAGGCATCGGGCTACTTCCTGTTCACCTCTCAGTTTCCTTCCTGCTCAGTCAGCATTTTGCAGGTTAAACTCAACTGTGTGTGTGTGTGTGTGTGTGTGTTTGTGTGCGTGTGTGTGTGTGTGTGTGTGTGTGTGTGTGTGTGTGTTTGTGTGTGTTTGTGTGCGTGTGAGTGTGTGTGTGTGTACCCAGAGTGTGCAGATGCTGTGTCGGGCTGCTGTGTGTGTTGCGTTGGTTCCAGTGCTGCAGGATTGCGTTCATGGCTCTGATGTCGACCCTCAGCTTGAGGCTGCAGACTCCCAGCAGCTCACAGAAACAAACGGCGGCCGACGCCACAGACGGCGCATTGAAACGCTGCAGGGCCGACCTGGACGCTCGCCGCGAGGCCTCCTGCAGCCTGGGACACATGACGCTGATGCTTAGCAGAAGGACGATGTTCCTGCGTGGTGTCCTCGCACCATTACACTTTCCTCACAGAAGCTCTGAAACGAGCGTGCGGTACTCACGTTAGCCTGACGTCCCCGCTGCCGCTAAGCTGCTGGACGAGGAAGGTGGCGTAGGCGAAAGATGGCCGACCGTGGTGGAGGAAGTAGAGATAGTCCAGATTCTCTTTTAGAGCGAACCTTTGGACCAGGTGAGGGCTGGAGAAGTGAGGCAGCTCTGATGTTTCTGTGGAGAATCATCACAAACAGGAACATTTAAAATCTTACAACATGTCAAACGTCTTCAGCTCATCCTCCGCCACATGCACCGCCTTCACGACCTCTGCTCCTTGCAGCTTCACCTTTCCACCTGTCTCCCTTCCTCTACAGCACCTCCCCCTCTGCAGGGTATCTTTTACCTGCTTCCTACTCTCACCACAGATCACAGTCACACTCAATTTAAAGAAAACATCTGTTTTCTGCTTCTCAGTTTCCAAAGTTCAGAGGTTTTTGGGGGTGGGGCTTCCTGTCACCACCTGAGCCGTGACCTTCGTGCTGGCTTTCGGGTCTTACCTGTGGAGTTGAGGGTGTTTGCTGCCTGCCAGCCAAACAGCCTGGACGGGTCCAGAGGGTGGAGGGACTGGAAGGAAACACCAACGGGCCGTCAGAATACCGACAATAACGAGGTGAATACTAATGAGCTGGCAGGTGACGGGTGGGTGTTTACCTGCAGCAGGTGGTACACGGAGATGTCGGAGGGCGGGCCGTTTCCTCGGGGACGGCAGGGAACAGGGCGGCCCTCAGTTTGGGATGTGGGGCCAGCGCCATCTTCAGCAGCTGTGGGTCGACCGTCCTCTCTGACCTGCCTGACCTTTGACCCTGAGCCATCACCTGAAAGCACGGCGAGGAAACACTTCATCCTCCACCCTTCTTCATGTTTAACACCTGTCAGGGTTTTGTTTCCACACAGAGCAGCAGCTTCCTGACAGGAGCAGAGTTTACCTGGTCAATTCCTCCGGGGGCGAACATGATGGCGGCCAGCGTCAGCAGACTGTGACCCTCTAACAGCAGACTGCTGAGAGACGCCTGGCTGCCAGGTAATAACACCTGAGCACTGGTTAGACTGGCCTGGAACACCAGTCCTGGATCTGCAGCAGAGAACGAGGACAAAGCACGATGAAGAAAGGATTGAGGAGCGAGGAGGACGAGGAACGCGCTCAAACTGAGAGCGCAGAGTTCGGTTCCCACCTGACAGATCTCTGGTGATCTCCTGGATCCGCACCAGCATCTCGAACCAGGGCTGTCGCTCAGAGAGGCTCTGACTGCTCAGGAGGGAGCAGTTTCTGGGGGTCAGTCTGTGGACAGGAGGCCAGAGCTCATAATGGGGTCACCATAAGGTCGACCCAACAACAACACATACGGAGACAAACCCAGCAGTCATGTGACCCCCTATGAGTTTGGCAACAGTGAGAAGGAAAAACTCCCTTTTAACAGGAAGAAACCTCAGACAGAAGCAGGCTCAGGGAGGGGCGGGCCATCATCAGCACTTACATCAGATCATATCACACACCTGTAGTGCTCCAGGTAGGTGTAGAGCAGGTACTGAAGGTTGTGCTCCAGACAGAAGGTAATAAAGACGCCGTGGAGGTCGAGCCCGAGGGGTGAGCGGTACTGAGGGATGGGAGGAGAAGAAGACATCACGCCTCCACCCTGAGCCAACCTCCACAGCAGCTGCTCCAGGTGTGCCAGCTCGTCCGGGATGAACACGCCTCTCCTGCAGGAAATAAAACCCTGTGGTTATTTTCTTGCACCGTGCCAGCTGCACAGCTGATATGCTGGTTGGTATCAGGCTAAACTGGAGACGGTGGGCGTGCGGTGTCCCGGTGTACACGGGAGCTTCTGGTCACGTCTGTGTGGTCAGAGTTTGGTCTTTTGGATGCAGGTGACCTCATCGCTGCTCACAGTGGAGCTGTGATGAACCAGGACACCTGTGCACAAACGTCTGTGTTTGTACCTGGCCAGCAGGTCCAGGATGTTCTCCCTCATGTAGCTGCTGCAGGCCGTGCTGTCGTTCACCAGTTCTGGGGTTAAGTCCGGCCACCGGGGGGTGCCAGAGGTCTCCGTATTCTGGATCCAGTCGACCACGCGGCGCTGGTCGTGCAGGGCGGTCAGATAACGCCACAGCACTGAAGCGTCGCAGGCTCTGAGCTCTAACGGAGAAAAGGAGGTTAACACTGAACGGAGACTTATTAGAATCTGACCCCGACCCGGGTTCTACCTGCGTGCTGCAGTCTGGACAGGAGGACGGCTGTCCGGCAGCTCTGGTCCAGTTCTTCACCCAGTCCAGTCTCAGTGTCCTCCAGAGACCCCCCCGCTCCTCCTCCTCGTCTTCCCAAAGCCTCCTCTGCACCTCCAGCTCTTTCAGAACCTCCTCACCGCCTCCCTCCTTACGAGCCATCCGAACAGTCCCGGAAAGTTTTTGGATTCTCAAAGTCAAAAACAAAGAGTTTGTGTTTACTCAGAGGTTTAACGTCTGAAAGAGTCGAGGGGCGGGTTAGAGGAGATAAAGAGAGAATTCGGAGGGTTCAGAGGAGGGCAGGTAACAAAAACAGAGCCGAAACAAAGCAGCTGAGAGCAGGATGGGGATGTTTGTAAGATGAAACAGGAGGCTGAGGAGGAAGCTGAGGAGAATTAATGTCTGTTCGTCCTTCATAACCATGGTGGGAGGAAGCAGAGTCAGAGCATTTATAATGCAACTACCTGACCAATAATATGGCTGCTGTGAGGTTACCGTGCCAACAGACTGTCCAGTCAAATTATAGCATTGTGATTGGATGTCACAGATTAGCAGGTGTCTGTGTGATGCTCGCAGTCTGCTGGCTCCACAAACAAACATGGCGGTTAAACATGAAGCTTTAAAACCAGCTGATTGCCTGACGGTGAATGTGCCATTTTCCATTTACAGTTTATGCATCTACACGACAGCAAAGACCTCTGAGGAATATTCAGACCTGATTTTCCATAAATGTGTTCACAGTGTTTGAGATCAAATGTGAAATAATGTAATATTTGACTGCTTTATGATGACTGGTATGATGAAGCCCATCAGCCAACGTGGATGTTTTTACTGATGGAAGCTGATAGAGCAGAAACTTTGTGTATTTTTCAGTTAGAAGTAAACTAGGCTTTCAGCGTGACCACAGTCACATCACAGACTGTGGAAAAGTCTGAAACTCCTCACATTAGTCCCACCTGTAGGATGGAGCCCTTACACATCTTACCCAGGTGTTACCTATGACTAGGGCTGCCACGATTTGTCGACTAGTCACGATTACATCGACTATCAGAATCGTCGACGACTGATTTAATAGTCGACGTGTCGTTTGAAGCTTTGTAAGATCACAAAAGCCGCAGGAATAAGTAGCAGGATTTAAGAGTGTAATAACGGACTGAAACAGAAGATGGCAGCACTGCATGTACAAGGATGCCAGCTGCCGTTAAACCCCGAAGAAGAAGAAGCTCTGTCCCAGAATTCATAGCGCGGCCCAGCTTAGTTTCCAACAATGGCGGTAGCTAGTTAGTTTTAATATTACTCTTATTATTCTTTCTGGGTCACAAAATAAACGTTTAACATATTTTCAGGGAGAATGTAGCTGTGCAAACCTCAAATATCTGCTCAGTTTATCAGGACACCACATATTTTCAAAAGCGCTCCGACGTTTTCGGAGACGTCTGTTACCCACTAGCTCGATAGCTAGCCGGGGGCTAGGCTAACTAGAGCCGTGAGAACACCGACTCCCGGCTTCAAACCCACCGCCGTCTTTCGCTACTCAGGTTAAACATGATATATGAGTCACTTAGATAACTTAAACATGTTGTTGTTTGGCTTTTTTCAGTATTTTATTTGTTCCTGAGTAAATCGGTTTGGCTGAGATTAAAGTTATAGTTTTTACACAGCTGAATAAACCTCAAGCAGACAGCTGATCATCAGAAGTGTGAGATGCTGGAGAATTGACTCCGGTGTCCTGTTATATTTTAGATAGCAAGAGTTTATTAAACTTCACCGAAACAATCTGCAAATTTCATTAAAATTTAATAAACTATCATCTTGTCTTTATTTTTAGTTAGCACATACCTTAAACACTTAAAGCTGTAAGCTAATGATAAGAGCAGATGCTGCTGGTGCAATAAGCTGTACGTTTACGTCCAATGGATGATGATCTGACTAGTCGACTATCAAAATAGTCACAGCCCTACCTATGACCCTGAAAAAGCTCAGGATTTAGCTGTAAGCTGTAAATCTGTGCAGCATACTAACTACTAGGTCGGCTTCCAGAAGCTGACCAATCAGAAAGAAGCAGGTTTTGGGTGGGCGGTGCATAAAGAGACAGGAGCTAACACGTCCACAACACAGACGTCTGCAGTGTGACAGAGAGCCACTCTGATTGGTGGAACTCTGTGCTGTGGATTCAGCAAGCAGCTGTTTACCCTTGATGCGAGGTACTTCCTGTGCAGCGGACAGCCGGCCGCGACCCCAGCTTCTCCATCTCCCGATGAACTCGACACTCTCCTTCTCTTCCTCTGGAAGTAACTCCGACTGGACAGCTCATCCACCTGTGCAACAAGTAGGAACAGTTTAGAGGTCGGACGGGGACGAACGTAAACATTCACAGAAACAAACGGAGAGCATGCTTCAAAGTAAAATAGCGGGAAACACGCCACACTCACCATCAGCTCCCTCAGCTCCTTGTCATCCGTGTGGAGGCAGATAAGGTGGAGCTGCTGCTTCACACTGAAACCCTGCAAACCCAAACACAGACCGCTCAGCCTCGACGCAAAAAGGATCGACGAATCGGCTCGCAGAGCCGGGGTCCAGGCCCCGCTCCGTTTGAGACTGTGGACTCAGAGTCTCTGTGACATCATACAGATCCCAGAGCAGATAAACTGGCCCACAGGCTTTACTCCTACACCGCGGCCACATTATTAGAAACGTTGGTCGTGTTTGCTCGAACAGGAGATAAAAAACAATCGGTACTTTTGTCTTTACTTCTCTTCTATGAGGCTCATCTTTGCTCTTTTCCTGATAACCTGTAGTTGAACATGTGTGATGTCAGCTGCTCTCACCATGTTGGCGAGGAGCGTGTTGGCGGTCTGCAGGTCTCGGCGCCGCAGGCAGGAGGAAACTTGCGCAGACCCTCCCTCCTCAGAGCCGGCAGGTGACATTCGGGCCGGTTCTGCCTCCGCAGGACTGCCTGAGCTCTTGGGATCTGATTGGTCAGGATGGACTGATGGACCACTTCCTGCAGCATGAACACAGAACAACACTTTTCAGATTTTCACACATTTTTTTAGCATCACAGGAAGGTTACTGCGGTTATGGGACCAAAGAAAAACGTCTAAATCTGACCTCTGCGGAGAGCTGCTCCCACTCGTCCCGCTGAGCCTCCTCCTCGGCCGGAGCCGCAGCTCTGGTAGCCGACACATCGGGCCCTGCAGCCCAGGGGAATCTCTTCATGTAGCTCCTCAGCTCGGCGACATATCGATCCAGAACGTTCATGCAGCTCTGCACGCCAGAGTCCTCGTCTGCAGACGCAGCAGAGCAGCGTCAACTCGGACACCTGTATTAATGCTCTGTGTGTGTGTGTGTGCTTGTTCTCTTACGGTGTGTGTTGGACAGCACGGAGCGGATCTGCGTGTTCACGAAGCTCAGGGTGATGTTGAGCAGCTGCTCGGAGAACTGTCGGCTCTGAGCTTCGCTGTTCGAGTCTCTGACGGCCGAACACAGCAGGTCTAAGGCGGGACACAGCTCCTGCACTCCTGCAGGGGCGACGGCTCGTTACACACACGATATCACAAAAAAATAAGAAATCAGGAAGGGGACAGATATTTGTATCACAGCAGTTTACCTCTAAGATTATGTGTTTTCTGATGTTACAGACTGAACGATGCTTTGTGCTGTTGCTTCGTGTAATAAGCACCAACAAACTCTTTCCTGAACTCGTTTCAGGGAAAGTTGTTTTGGAAGATTTGCATTCAACGGCATCCACGTGCATCTGCGAGCAGTTTGCACGCTTCTCTGCTTGTGATCTAAAACGTGTGCTTGTAACGTGGCGTGCACGTACTGTCTGTGAGGCTCAGCGTGGAGGTGGCGGGCTGATCAGCAGAGCTGAACGCTGCCGCCGGAGGGTTCAGGACGTTTTCTTTGCTCTTCAGGTAGAAATCGACCGTGTCCAGCTGACGGTTCTTCAGTCCAGTCTGTGCAACAACAAAGAAGACAAACTGTTTGATGCAAATGTCATAAACAGTGGAAACAAAGTAGAATTTGTTTTTACTTTTCTTAATGAATAGATAACAGAGTTTTTTGTTTCAGGATTTTCTCTCTCACAGAACCATCAAAGATCTCAAAAATGTTTTCCTGTGATCAGAACGAGGTTTAATTAGATATACAGCTGTTTGCTACCTGCAGGGCGTGGATGGGGATGGAGCAGCGCCCCCAGCTGTTCAGGTGGCAGACTGCGTCCACTGTCGCCGCGCTGCCGAACAACATCAACCGGCTGAGCAAGTCCTGCTGCGATACGGAGAACAGGACCTGGAACACACCAGCCTCTGACACACACACACACACACACACACACACACACACACACACACACACACACACCACACACACACACACACACACACACACACACACCAGGATGTGAGGTTACTGGAGGCGGGGCTTGCTGATTTGATGCGGTCCCTGCCGTCTTTCCTTTCTTTCACAGAAACACGAGCTGTCAGGTGATCGCGCTGCTTCGACACAAACTGCAAGTTTTTGAAAATTACTTGGACAAAAAACCAAGTTGGATTCATTTGTGCAGAGTAACCGTGTGAACCTTTGGCGCCCTGTCGGGCTGCTGAGGCCATCACAGCAACAGTGACCTGGAGCGCGGCGACTTACTCTTCAGCAGCAGCCGATGCTGCCGCTCTCCACAGCGCTGGACCGGCGCTGCCTCGCCCGCCGCCTGGTGGTATCTCACGTTCCCGTACTTCATATCCCACAATGCAACTGTGGTCTGTTGGTTTCCCGGGCGGACGAAGGTCAGCAGAGCGGAGAACTCAGAGACGGTGAGCTGAGATGAAGCGGACGATTCGGGGATGGCGAAAGTGACGGTCATCCCCCCCGGAGGCACTCTGCTGTGGGACGAGGATGGAGCCAGGTGGGAGTCCAGGTGGGGGAGGGAGGAGAACCAAGAGGAGGTCCTGGGAGGCTGAGATGAAGAGAAGCAGGAGGAGGAGGAAGGAGCAGTGGCCTGTTTTGCTCTGCTGTACATGGAGTTGAGACGAGCCTCCCAGGAGCTGGAGTTGAGGTCAGAGGTGAAAGGTCAGAGGTGGACCTTTCTCTTCTTAAAATAAATAACTATTTTAACAAACAAAAATCAAGAAAGTTTCGGTCACAGCTCATAAATCCAGACGCTCCGCAGCTTACCGGTCGGTGCTGAAGGTCGCTCCCAGGGCTGAGACGCTGAAGCTGGAGCTCGACAGGCTGTCCTGGTCTCTGGGGTGCTGCGGCTGAAGAGGGGGGCGTGACCGAGGGGCGGCGCACAGCAGGTGGTCCGGAAACATCCTGAAAGACAGATCATGACTCTGAAGTTTGCTCTGTGCCGTCTCTGCAGTGCAGAGCGGGATTAGCTCGCAGACGAGTCGGCGCCATTAGATTTTCCCTGTTTGATGCAGTTAATCGGTTTAATATTCCTCCAGCTGAGCCGGGAACCTCACGCACAGGATCAGAGCGCCGCAGACGAATCCACCCCGCCCTCGCCGTTTCTGCTTCTGTCATCATTCTGAGAATCTTTTCAGCACTTTATGGCTTTAATGTGACGCTTTTCACCTGAATCCCCACAAACAGACTCTAACACAGACACTACTCATCGAGATGCCTTCTACGTCATTGCACTGACTTTATACCTGAAGTAGTGGTTGAGGTCGACGGCGATGGCGGCGTGGACTGAGTGACGGCCACGGCTGTGCTCAGATCAGCCGACACCTGGAGGAGGCAGAAGGAGGCAGAGGAGGAGAAGGGGAAAGAGGTGAGCTCGTCCTCTGCCGGGCTGGAGCTCAGGTAGGCGGCCAGGCTAACGCTGGCCAGCAGAGTGCCATCAGAGACGCTGCACACAGCTGGAGGGGGTGGAGTTAAAGAAAAGGATGTATGGACAAAAACGAGGCGCTTTATTTCATGCATTCATGAAAGTTACACTGCAAACAATTTGAGAGGAATGTATTTAAATGCTTCATAAAAAGGAGAACTCCATCATCGATACACATCCCTCTTTCCTGTCTCTTAACTAAAGGGACGCTCTCTTGGACATGTGCAGAGGACGGAGAGTGGATGATGAAGATGGAGCTGCCAGGCAGGAGGAAAACAGGAAGGCCTCAGAAGAGGTTCGTGGATGCAGCAAAGGAGGACGTGGTACTGGGATGGACCATAACAGCAGCAGCTGCAGGAAGAAATCACCCAGCGATGTCTGTTTTCATGAATTATGTTATTGTTGGGGGATCATCTGCAGGACTTCCACCGCCCGTCAGTGCACATTTGCCCTGATCTCGTGCTATGATGCACTTACTGGTGTTGTGACCTTCTGCACACTGTTACTCGTGCTGACCTGTTTAGGACGGTGTGTGAGTCATGAGCCATGTTCTCAGTGTGTAGCAGTGAGACCGTGAAGGATACATATGAGTCCAGTGGAGCTGAGGGCAAACAGGGTTTCCATGGAGACGCAGTGATGGACAGCAGAGCACGAGACGCTGTCGGCCAGCTCGACTCTGCAGCAGGATAACGTCTGAGGCTCCTCCTCCTCCTGCTGCCACTGTAGCTGCAGCAGCCAATCAGAGTTCAGCAGAGCGCAGCAGCGGGCAGTCACAAAGGACAACACCTGCACCGCCTGCAGCTCGCTCACACCTGGGAGCAAACACTCGGTCAGCTAATGCGACACGTTAATAGCTGCGGTGGTCTAGACGGTTTTGGTACTCACTGGGATCCTGGTCTCTGATGGTCTGCAGCAGGCGGTCTGCAGGATACTCACACACACAGAGAACGGAGGTGAAGGCCGACCGCTCAGCCCTGACCTCCAGCAGCTTCAGGTCACCCTGAGATCCCACAGCCAGCAGCCTGAAGCCGCCGACTCCCCGAGAGTGGACGGACACCTCCTCCCACGAAAAACTGTGAGCAGAAAGAAACTTTTAGAAAATCTGCTTGTTTACCTGCAGTCCTGGGCAGCCCTCACTAACCGACACAGCACAGGGAGGACGTCTGCTGACCTCCAGCTGCAGTATCAGCTGTCTTTGGAGGCATTTTACTGGCTTTTGTCTCCGTTTGTGCAGCTGCACTCCACAGAGAGCCACGCACTGCAGTGCTTCAGCATACAAACACATGTTGGTGTTTTAGTAATACATGCATTTATTTTCAGCCCATTTTCTTATTGTGTGTGTGTCACATTACCCAAATCATGTAGATATTTTAGCAAACATCAAATAGTCAGAAATCACAGTTAAATGTTAGCTGGACAGTGCCAGGAGGAGCTCTGTTTGATGGCTTCTAGTTTAAACAGAGGATGTCTCAGATCCAACGCATTTTAATGTTAAACCAGTTACTCGGAGATTATTCAGCGTTATCACAGTCACTATCTGTGCGGTTCCTGCTGACTCACTCTCGGTAGCTGCCCTCCACTGCAGCCGGAGAAGCCTCTCTGTCCGCCGGGTCCCACACCACCAGCTGCCCCCGGACCCCAGACATCCGAGCAGGGAGCCTCCAGGAGCAAGCTCGGCTTTCCGTACGTCCGCTACATCACCACAGTGCTGATTTTCCGGGATCACAGCTACCTCCGTGGATCCAGCCTGCAGCCGCTGATCCGCTTCCAACATCTTCGCGAGGTGAACCGGGACCGGAGAAACCGGATTAAAGGTCTAACTGTGAGCTAAGAAGACATTTTAGTTTCAAAAGAAGAATAAATCTGCTGTCGAAGCTCTTTGGACACTTCCTTTTCTCATGTAAACAGCTGCTCTGTTTCAGTTGTCACGTGTGCTGCCTCTACTGTCAGCTGACCTCCGCGGAAACTAATGCGCAATAACGTCATCGTGGATCGATTGCTTTTCCCTGGACCCAGCTCTAGAAAGCGACACGCTAATTGGCTGAGACTAACACCGCCGATCTGTATACAGTTTAGCAGTTAGCGCTCATGCTAACTGTAGCTGCTTGGTTCCATTGTCGCAGATAGAGATCTGCTGAAGGCGCGCTGCTGTACGCTAAGGCTGTCATTAGCTTTCCTGCCAAAGTCACCGCGAAAGGTCCCGTTTATTATGGCGTTTTCTAAAACATGGAAGCAGTGTTGAGCCTCGTGTCGTTAACTGTCACGAAGGTTTTACAGTTCTCCGGACTGACGGACAACTGGAATGCCCGAGGGCCAAAAAGATGGAGGAGAAAGCGTTAGAAGTGTACGGTACGTTCAGCCGGTAATGGAGGCTAATGGAGGCTCTGGTCTCATAAACAAGGCTCTACTGCACTGTCAGCTAACCTGTCTACGTACTGTAAGTCTGTAAACCCACGGCCAGGATACTGACAATAAATACCAACGACTGTAAATAATGTTAAACACATGCAGTCAGTGATGACTACCGCCACACTGTAAGAAAAACTATCTGAGTAAGAGTTTTCTGTCAGCTTTGCTCGCAGATGATTAAATCACGCGCCGAAGTGTCGACCGTGTAATGAGCTTTAGCAGGTGTTATAGATTAGTAGTAAAAACGTAAACTGTTGAAGATTAAGTTAAATGTGAGATTATTGAACTGGAGTTTGGTGCGACGAAAGAAAAGATTTGTCTGGTTAAACATGTGGAAAAGGTTAGAGAATTAAAACTTACGCTCAACATTTGACCTATTTTTAACTGTCCTCCTCAGTAAAACTACATGAGGTTTCCATCCACTCGTCACAGGCTTGAACCTCACAGTCATTTTGGGCTTTTAATGATTTCTTTGAACGGTTCTTCTTCCAGCATGGACTGTTTTAAAAAACTTAAAAACAGGATCTGGGTGCTCAAGTCTGAATTGATTTTGATGTTTACGTGCACATGCTGAAAGCTTGTGATAAATGATGTTGGAGGTTCTACAATGTCTTTAAACTTGGCCGAGGCCTGTTAGCTTCTCATTAGTGATCATGGTTAATTACGACTGACAGATTCTCTCTGCAGCATAAAAAGGATTTGTTTGACAGCATTCACCGGATTGACCAATACTGGGAACAATGGGAAAGTCCAGCCATCTCAGTGAAGATCTGAAAAGCAGAACTGCAGATTTACACAAGTTGGGAAAGTCTCTCTGAGCCGTTTCTGAGCAAGGATCCAAGATCACACAAGTACAAGTTACTCAGATCTGTCCCCACTGAGGTCTGGGAGACACCCAGACTGTCCCCTCAGCTCAAATGAGCAGCTAGCCGAGTGAAACGGGGACACAGTCAGGAGTTCCAACAGGACAACGATCCCAAACACACAGCAGAACTGGTTTTGGGTAAAGCAGGCTAACACTGGGCTTAGCATTGAGCGTTTCAAACCCCTGAAAATTTGTGGACCAGTTTAAATGAACTCGACTGATTCAGCAAAGGAGAGCAGTCAAATATCAGCCAGACGTGCCAGAAGCTGGTTGATGGATACAAAAGCATGTGGTTGAGGTGCATCTTGCTAAGAGGCATTTAACCTGACATTCGTGGGGGTGTATGTATATATCTGAGCCTGACAGCCTTGAGACTCACTTCCTTCACAGTCACCTTCCTACAGGTCTGCTCTGCAGCAGGAAAAACTCAGAATTTCTTGGACTCTTCGTATCGTTCTCAGTTTGTTTCAGCGGATCCTCAAACACGAGGCTTTGCCTGTTTTCTCACTTTAATCTCGCCGTCATGTGACTCACGTTTTCTTTTTCTGCCCTCCATCAGATGTGATCAAATCGATCCGTGACCCAGAGAAGCCCAACACCCTGGAGGAGCTGGAGGTGGTGACGGAGAAGTGCGTGGAGGTGCAGGAGCTCGGAGAAGACGAGTACCTCATCATCATCAGGTTCTCCCCCACCGTCCCCCACTGCTCCCTGGCTACGCTGATCGGTGAGTCGATGATTGAACCAGTCTGTTATTTCAGCTGCTGTTAGGAGGACAACTCAAAATATTCCAGATAATCTATTTCTAAGGTTTATGGAAAATCTTTGCAGGAGACGCTTACAGGAGGAACCGCATTTGAAAAACGAATCTTAGCTTCAACAAAAAGAAACCAGAGTGAAAGATCAACATGAGCCTAAAGACAAGACTGAACACTCAAAAATGAAAATCGAGCTAAAAACAATCAGGAACTAAAAAGTTCAAACAACCACCAGTCACACAAGAGTCTGTGATCCACCCGAGAAGCTGTTAGTTGGGATGCTGTGTGCAGTGTAAGTAACACTGCAAACCTCATAAACTCCTGTTTTATCTCCTGGAGCACAGAGACATGTGTCCAGTGTTTAAACTGAGAAAATGAACCACTATGATAAAACAATGAGCTCATTTTGAATCTGATGGCAGGAACGTGTTTCTCACTGCGTCCGCTCGTCTTTTACATCAGTGCATAAATGTCTGAGCCAAAGAGAGCAGCTGCTCGACGTAGTTTTGTGCAGATTGTGAACCTCTGCTCGTCTTTCCTTCTCACACTCTTTTTATTCCCAGACATGTTACTGACCTGCTGCCAGTGACCCGATTACCTCGGCCGAGGTGACCCGCTCTGTGTTTGGTGTCATTCTGTCTGTGGACGCGTAGCTGGATACACTGTGTCAGGGCTTCAGGTAGAGCAGGGTCAGGTTAGTTTCCATGATTCTTACAGGTGTGTTGTCAGCATATAGAAAGTACTGTCTACAGATTTCAAAGTATGTAAGTGTCGTCAGGTTAGTCAGAAATACACTGCAGTATAATATTATATAATACTACTTAGTCCTGCATACAGTTTGTGTAATCAGAGTAAACCTCTGTCACACTTATCTGCAAACTTGTTAAAGTAGATTTAATAAGAGCAAAGAAAACAAATGAACATGTAGAAAACAGCCTCGTGCTCAGAGAGCGAGCTGCCCCGCTGCTTCTCCTTCTTACAAAATGTTCCTCTCTTCCATGGAGAACAGTAAAAGTCTCAGTTTAAACATTTGATGTCTTTTCTCTCTTCTGTTGGGAATAAAACATGAATATTTATGAGAGCTGCACATCACTGAATTCTTGTGCAACGGGGTCGTAACCACCTGATTTATTTTAATTAGAAGTTTGTTTCCCTTTTAATCACAGTCCAGTCTCTCCATCACCTCTGTAAGGCCGCCGTGCTGGCAGCCACAGAGCTCGTACTTATTATTCTGGACGTCCTCACAGCGGCGGCGCTGCAGTGACAGAGTCCGCCCGAGGACGCTCTTGATGTGATGAGCAGCAGGAAATAAAGTTTTAACCAGACAGCGCTGCTGCATCATGGAGAGCCTTTTAACACAGCTGTGGGGGGTCCAGGATGTTTTATCGGCCCGCTCCAGCTCCTTTTCCTATTTCTATCAAACTGTCGGAGCGACAGAGTGAATCTACTTCAAGACAGACTATATAAAACCTGATATATGCTGTGGCAGCTGAAGACATCACTGTGGGACTATGATTAATTTAGCAGCTAATGGCAGAAGTTGGTTCTTTTTGAATGGGAGGCTGCTCTCACGATGTGTTTATTGTTGTTAAATGTTGTCACTGTTGTGCTTCAGTTTGTAAACCTTTTCTTAAACGGCATGTTTAGATATTCTTTTGTTCTCCTCCCCGGCCTGTTGAATGGTGGGGGGGCCGTAATGTTTAACTACAGGCACAACTACAGATTTCCTTATCTTGTGAAGGATGTTCAGCCCGGCCATTTAGGGGCTCCCCTATGCTTGTATATGGTGAACCATTAAAGTTAAGCTGTATACAGGTGTGGGGAGATGACCTTTGGATAACCAGGAAATGTGGTTAAACAGTTGTAAGCATATATTGTGTGGCAGGAAGTCATGTATACAGAGACACACACAGACACATTCATTCATACATGCATGCTCACACACACACAGTGCCTTAGTTTTTATGGCACGTGCTTCTTCTCATGTTTGATGTTCCTGTTTGCTGTTTTCCTCATCAGTAAACTCTGACACACACTCGTCTAATCTGCTGCTAACGTTGCTCTTCGTCAGTGTCTGATGGGCTTCTTCTGTGTCTGCAGGCCTGTGCTTACAAGTCAAGCTCCAGCGATGTTTGCCGTTTAAACACAAGGTGAGTTTCAGCGTGACATAAGCCGCTGCACCCAAACCACAGATGACACATTTTCACCCCGGATTTGAACCTTTGTGTTTAGCAATTGGCATCACCTTTTCCCCCGCCCACTTTCTACTTTTGGTCAGGGTTTAGGCGGAGCTCGTCGTGGTCTAGGTTAAAATGCGCACCCACTTCTCAGTGATGCCACAACAAAGTGGTCAGCTGACCTCTGCCAAATGACACCTTTGCTTTCAGCCATTTTCTGTATAGAGCAACTAGCAATATAATTATAGAAGTTTCACCCGGTGCTGTTTTTGTGTGCGTAGACATTTGAACTGCCTTCCAAACTCAGACGTGACAAAACAAATCGAACAGAGAACAAAAGGAAGCGGAGGAGTCGAAGCTTCCTGGACAGACACAGCTGTTCTGTCATTAACACATCAATGAGCGGCACTCGGAGAAACGGAGGCAGGAATACCGCTGTCGACGAACCCTCCGCTGGCCTTGGCAGCCCGTTAGCGGTTTATTCATGAGCTCGTTGGAGAGGTTTCAGCATCAGAGATCGAGGAGTTCTTGGACTGCTATCAGACAGACCGGAGAGGGTGCAGGCAGGTGGAGAGCTGCAAGCTTCATCATTAAAGCTGCTTTACAAACGAGTCGAGTAGCCTCTTAATTAGAGGAGTGATTTTAATCAGCAGTGCTGGACAAAGCAGCTTCACACTGGCAGAAAAAGTTATCAGGGTAATGAAAAGTTTGTTTAATGGAGCCTGATTTCTGCAGGAAGCTCTCACTGACTGTTTGCATAGCAGTTAATCCAAACCACACAGGAACATTAAAAATACAGTGAGTGATTATTTCAGGTTATTTGCTACAAAAACTCATATTTGTATTATTGGTATTTAATCCTCTCTTCCTGATTCTCATGAAAAATAAACTCACCTTCTGTTAAACGTATAATTAATAGGTAACACATGAAAAGTGCATAAACATGCTCATTTATTCCTGATGTTGTCCTAATTACTTTTTACCAGCAGATTAGACAAGCCTGACGAGCACTGGTTAAACAACAACAACAACAGCTGGTTATAAGCTAACACTTTTCATGTCTGTTCTTCTCATTAACAGTTTGATTTTATTCTCACATCATGTGAGAGTTCATTTACTTAGTGTTCGAGTCCGAGAAAGTTGCATCCACTTCAAAAAAAGTTTCACTAATGTTGCCTAACAGAGACTGACGATGCCCGACAGAGGCTAACAGTGGCTAGCAGTGCTCGACAGTGGCTGACGGTGCCCGACAGTGGCTAACAGAGGCTAGCAGTGCCCGACAGTGGCTAACAGAGGCTAGCAGTGCCCGACAGTGGCTGACGGTGCCCGACAGAGGCTAGCGGTGCCCGACAGTGGCTGACGGTGCCCGACAGTGGCTGACGGTGCCCGACAGTGGCTGACGGTTCCCGACAGTGGCTAACAGAGGCTAGCAGTGCCGACAGTGGCTAACAGAGGCTAGCAGTGCCCGACAGTGGCTAACAGAGGCTAGCAGTGCCCGACAGTGCCCGACAGAGGCTAGCAGTGCCCGACAGAGGCTAGCAGTGCCCGACAGAGGCTGACGGTGCCCGACAGTGGCTAACAGTGGCTAGCAGTGCTCGACAGTGGCTGACGGTGCCCGACAGTGGCTAACAGAGGCTAGCAGTGCCCGACAGTGGCTGACGGTGCCCGACAGAGGCTAGCGGTGCCCGACAGTGGCTGACGGTGCCCGACAGAGGCTAGCAGTGCCCGACAGAGGCTAGCAGTGCCCGACAGTGGCTGACGGTTCCCGACAGTGGCTGACGGTTCCCGACAGTGGCTAACAGAGGCTAGCAGTGCCCGACAGTGGCTAACAGAGGCTAGCAGTGCCCGACAGTGGCTAACAGAGGCTAGCAGTGCCCGACAGAGGCTAGCAGTGCCCGACAGAGGCTAGCAGTGCCCGACAGAGGCTAACAGAGGCTAGCAGTGCCCGACAGTGGCTGACGGTGCCCGACAGAGGCTAACAGAGGCTAGCAGTGCCCGACAGAGGCTGACGGCGCCCGACAATGGCTGACGGTGCCCGACAGTGCCCGACAGAGGCTAGCAGTGCCCGACAGAGGCTAGCAGTGCCCGACAGAGGCTGACGGCGCCCGACAGTGCCGACAGAGGCTAGCAGTGCCCGACAGAGGCTAGCAGTGCCCGACAGAGGCTGACGGCGCCCGACAATGGCTGACGGTGCCCGACAGTGCCCGACAGAGGCTAGCAGTGCCCGACAGAGGCTGACGGCGCCCGACAGTGCCCGACAGAGGCTAGCAGTGCCCGACAGAGGCTAGCAGTGCCCGACAGAGGCTAGCAGTGCCCGACAGAGGCTAGCAGTGCCCTATAGAGGCTAAAAGAGTTTTTAGATGTGTCCTTGATCCATCACAGCTGATTTAAATGGCTAAATGACCTCCTCAACATGTCCTGAAGTTCTCCAGAGGCCTGGTAATGAAGTCATGTGATTCAGGTGTGTTGACCCAGGGTGAGATCTAAAACCTGCAGGACACCGGCCCCAGATGTTCTCTTGGACAAAGCTCTGTTAGTTTCCAGCGTTGTCTTCCTGCCACATGATAGCGTTTCTCTGCCCATTGGGGACCAAGTACTATCACTGAAACCAGTCATCTGAGAGCGGTCTCAGTCATCGAGAGTTCACGCTGTGCACCGTCAGATTTCAGTTTTATCACACTCTGAGCAGCGTTCACGTTTCAAAGTTGAGTTTTAAACGATGAATGGCGTCTGTTGTTCTCTGAGCCGCAGAAATCCTGCTTTATTTCTGCTCTCCGAGTTTCTAATCCTAAACCACCTTCCTCTGTGTTCTCGCTTTTATGTAGAGCCGGGCTTTCAAATCCTCTGTTAACTGAATAAAAGCTGGATAAATGATTCTGAAACAAGCAGCCCGTTAACAACGCTTCTTTTTCTTTGCCTTCTCAGTTGGAAATTTACATTTCGGAAGGAACACACTCTACTGAAGAAGATAGTAAGTCTGCCTCATTTATTTTTGAAAGGCATTTTCATGGATTGTGTGGAACTAGACGTATTCAGCAAAGACAGCAGGGGTTCAGAAGGATCTGAGCTTTTAGAAACTACAGATTGTCTTTTACCTGAATCTGCTGTTAGAAGCCAAGACGTTCATGGTATTTACTTTACACGTCTGACTTTGCTCCTAACCCTGTCCTACTGTTTTAGTCACATGCTACCCCGGCTCTGCACAGGTTCCTATGGTTACTATTATTTTGACCGTCTTTAGGTTTAATTTACACAAAACTTAAGAACTATGGGATTAAAGTGCTCAACGTGTAAAGGTATTAGCATGTAGACGGTGCAAGATAAAAAAATAATATCAAGAGATTATCTGTACTGACAAGTTACATGAACGACTTTTAAAAAATGGAGCAAACTGACAAAATACAGCAACAGGTGAGAGTGAAGAGCTAAAAATCCCCACAGAGCAATAAAGTGCAGAGACAAGAGGCTAAAATGCTGCATGAACATTACAGCACAGACATGAGCAAGTGGTTCAGAGCACATGGTGTCATTAACCATTAAAACCCTGAATCTGAAACCACAGCACTGATCCCACTGACGCTGATACCTGATCCAGCTCTGAGTTACTCAGAAATGTGGTGAAATCTTTACAAAGACTCAGATAAACCCGAGCTGGGAGCAACAGCAGAGGTCCTAGAATGGAGCCCTGAGGAACACCCCTCACCGAGATGATATGTTGGAGCTAAGCAGCGCTCTCTGAGGTTATTCCAGCTCAAACATTACAGGAGGGGCGGCACGTGTGCGGGTTTCCGGTGTGGTCCAGTTGTCAGAACGTTTGTGTCGTCTGTTTTTGTCTCAGTTAACAAACAGATCAACGATAAGGAGCGAGTGGCGGCCGCCATGGAGAACCCCAACCTGAGAGAGATCGTGGAGCAGTGTGTCACCGAGCCGGACGACTGACTGCTTGGACCGTGTGTGTGTGTGTGTGTGTGTGTGTGTGTGTGTGTGTGTGTGTGTGTGTGTGTGTGTGTGTGTGTGTGTGTGTCCATAGTGCCTGAAAATTACACTCAGAGGACTGCTGAACGCTCGCCTAAAGGCGGAGCCTCGTGTTGGCTCGCCGGACCGTGTCGGGGGATTTTTGTTTTGGAGGCTCCTCACGGGGAACTTTGAGCCATAAAGAGTCAGAGGCTGAAGTCAAACAGCACGTGTGTGTGTGTGTTCACTTTCTCATCATTCCCTGCTGGAGGGACTCTCCCTGAGCGGCAGCGTTTCCTCGCTGTCGTCTGCTAAAGGCGACGCAAGATGCTGCAGGCGGAAGTGGGTGGGGCAAACAGAGACTGTCCTACTTCCATGTCATCGTGCAGACTGGGTCGTTCTGTGGAGAATCAGAATCTGTGGCTTTACCTCCTTTTATATACAAGAAGAGAGACGCACAGATGTTTCCAGCTTCTCTTGTAATGGTTGTTTTTTGGCGCCTGTCCTTTTCTAAATGCACTTATTGAGATTTATCTGAGGGGGTCGTTATTTTTAATGAGTAAGGTTTAAAAATCTAATTTACTAAATAACCAGGTAATAAAATTAGATTAAAAGTGGACCTGTTTTCCTCGTTTTGTTCTTGTTTCCTGTCATAAATCTCCCGTTCCTTCATATTAACTTGATCAAAGTTTGTAATAATGAGCTCAGTGTATGTACAGTCATCCCTGTGAGTGTGGGTCAGGCTGCACTCACTCATTTTATCAGGCTTTTCTATTCCTGGAACTTTGTGATGTCACAGAGAACGGTGGAGCAGCCAGAACTGAAAGATCTCCCATGTACAGGAGTATTTTTTAATAGCAGGCATTTTTTTTTTTCCAAGTTCATGTTGATAAACATCTCAGTCGTCAATATTCTCTCAAGTGCTGCCGAGAGCACACTGCGGGTGTCGATATCATCCCAACCAATCAGTCCGTCAGAAACAAACAAGAACGCGGCCCACATGATGTCCAAACGCAGAGATGAAGGTTTACTTTCAGAGTTGCAAGACTAAATTTCCTGGTTTGGGAAAATCTTCACCTTCACAGGAGTTTCTCAAAGACCGCGCAGAGGCTCAGTGTGAGCTAAGTGATTATTTTGAACTGCATATCATGCAAAGCTGCTAGTGAAGCACGGAGCAGATGAATCGTTTCATTTACGACTGCAAAGCTACAGCTGAGAGCCGCCGTTACAGACAGGAAGTGCTGGACAACAGCGAGGCTCTAAAGTCTGCTCGTAGGATCGATTCGACCAATAGCGACATCTGAGCCCGACTCCTGTACTAAATATCTCTCCCTTATACTGGGCACTGATCCAGCTGCTGTCAGGTACTAATGAGACAACAGCTTTTCTTTTTACTGCGTAATAATAATAAAAGTAATTGTGCTGAAAACCTCCACCGGCAGCTAAAATCACTGAAAACGCTCCAGAAACTTCTCAAAATTACCCTCAAACTGTAACTACAACTCTGGCCACCAGGGGGTGACATGTCGCCAGCAAACTGTTGCAATCTTTCCATCTTCTACTTCAGTTTCCTCAACAGATTTGATCCCAGAAAAAGGGTGTTCTTAATAACCTGTTTAATAAAGGTTGCACTGGCTCGCTGCACCAGGTTGTGGTACGAATGATGTTACATGAAAGTACAGCCCAGCTGAAGTTCATCTTCAGACAGGTCCACACCTGTCGAAGCTTCAATAAAACCAGATAAATGCACAACTCTTTGTTTCAAACTGAGCGCCTCCCCTCAGGTGGACCTGCATGTGAAAACTGTGTTTTTTCCACTGCAATGATGTTGCATCAGCTGCTGGGGCGCTGTTGGTCTTGGGTGAAGATCCTGAGAGGATGTAAAATGATAATTATACAGCTGTGTTATTTGAGGACCTCAGATCTGAACAATCAGGGCCGACTGGTCGACGTTTTCATCGCGGCTTTATCCGCTGATGCTCGTTAAGAAGCAGCCCTTTTGACATCAGAGTGAGCGTGTGGGTTTGTGAGGTCCTCAGGCTGCTCAGGCTCGTTGTTTGGCTGCAGACGGCACTTTCTGAGCTCTGCAGCTGAAGGCTGACAACAACAACACAGAGGAGGTTTTAGACCTCTTCAAATCCCCTCACACCGACTCATCACGCTCACAGCCACCACACTGTTGTTACCAGGACTGAACACCGATTGCTGTTTTTCTCTTCCTCTCAAGAATGGAAAGTTTAGACGATGAGCGGGGAATACAAAGGTCCAGAGGTGCAGGAAAGAGCAGAGAAACAGAAAGAGGCGATCACACTCAGAGTAAAGCCTGAAATGTCATTTTTCTGCAGTCTACTGCCGATGGACTTCTCAGGCATCAATAATGCTTTTGGCTCTTTTCCTAAAGCAATAGAGTCATCGGGATAGAGATGGTTAAAATTCCTCTCTTTGCCCCAAAATCAGGTTTTAAAGCTTCCCTCTGGTTAAGTTGTACTTGTATCTTCCATGTAGCAGAATGATCCCACAGATTGAATTCAGGAGTCTCTGAGTGTCCTCTGTCGCTTTCCTAACAGTCTGTGCAGCTCTTGGCAAGCATGAAGGACTGACCATAATAGGACCCCGGCTGCTCAGTGCTGATGCTTCCCAGTGTGCTTTCAGGGTTCAAATGGACATTTTATGATGAAGGCATTTGAGAATCATCACATGAATGTTCAGATGTTCCCGTGTGATCTTCTCGTCCTCCTTTCAAACTGCATGAAATGCTTTAAAAGCTAAAAGTCTGCCTCATCAGGGGCATTTCCAGGTTTGTTCTTTTCCAGGACTGACATGGTGGAGTGGGCAGGAAATCCGAAGAGGCGGTTGGAATTAAATACATTTTTGTTGCCTAAAATATATGTTATAAGGTTAAGACCCTACAACAATATAAGGAAGAAAAAGTCAAACAATATGAGCAAGCACGTTGGCAACAGTGGGGAGGAAGAACTCCCTGTTAACAGGAAGAAGTTTCCGGCAGAAGCAGCAGCATCCACATTTATGAGATTTACAAACCATCACAATAATTCAAAAAGTTTCTATATGTTTTAAATTGTGAATCTAATTTTGTTTTAGTTTTCATAGTATTTATAAAACATACAAAGTACATAATTACAAAAATATTCTGTTTTTTAGGAACTTTATTTAAAACAGTTCTGTTTAAAACGATATTTAATGACAGCTGCTGATTTTAAATGATAATGAAATTTAAAATGTTCAAAATCGTTAAATTTGTGTATGTCTTCATTGATGTCTTATTATTACTTTTCAACAAGTTTATCAATTTCTTTGTAGAATTAATTGTCTTTGCACACAAAATATAGTTTTCAAGATACAGAACTCACGAGTAATATTACTCAGTTTATTTATTTTCAAAATAAAACATTTTATTATTTGCACTTATGACGTGCTGCTGTATCGTTGTTTTCGTTCTTTTTTCTTTACAGTGAAAACATCCATAATAACTGATCTTTGCGCGATTACACAACTCAGACCTCTTTCTGTATAATCTTCTCTCAGGGCATCAGATGTTAGATTTTTAGTTACAGCATTAAACTAGAATTTAACATTATTTCTTTTTACATAAAATCACATGTGTGTGAAATTGTGTCTTTTTTGTGGGAGTTTTCAGTTCATGTTTATTCACAGTTATGGATTTTTCTTTATTTTGTACGACATTATTTAAAATTACAGGAAAATTCTGTAAAATTACAAATCTTTTTCTCCGCACTGAATCAAACACCGCATCAGTCGCGCCTGTGAAGGCCAGCTGACTGCTGCGCCCTGATGCTGATGGTCCGTCGGTACAAAGGCATTATTTTTGCTTCCATGATAATAACAAACACATATAAGAGTGAAAGTTCTTGAGATCTTTTTCGGAGTTTAGATCAATTAAAAATAGATTTTGTCTCAGCCTGAGGCGATTTTCTGTTTGTCCCACGAGGTTTAACACCAAGGTGTCCACTGAGTGTCCAGTCAAAAAACACACCATCACCGTGAAGGTGGTGAAACTGTCCCGGGTGGGCGCAGACGGAGACCACCACGTGGCAGGTAGAACATGCTGAAACAGACCAAACTGAGCCAAGGCTGAGATGATCCATCCACGACACAAGGTGAGTCATTATCTGCTTCTGTTTGGATTACTGCTCATCCTCAGCTTAATGCCCACGCTCACACCTCGCTCAGCCCGAGAGGGATTCTCGGACGGGCCGAGAGTGACGTTGAGGGTTTTTGTGTTAAAAAGGTGAAAATGAGGCAAAGACAAGAAAGATCCCGATTCAAACCCCCGGCTGGTGTCTACCGCCTGCCTCAAGGCTCCAGCGCTCCTCCGTGGCGATCAAAGCCAACCAACACTGGCACATCCGCGGGTCGAGGTGGCACACAGCGAGCAGCGCTGCTTCTGCTGTGCTGAATCATCGGCTCGTCTGCCAGCGGAGGCTCAGAGTGCCGCAGGGACGCCTTTGATAACAGGGGAAGGGGAAGAGGTGATTTGCATTCAGTGTCAAAACATAATTTCCAGGACTCCAGCAGCTCAAACACGGCTGCATCGAGCTGATGGGAAGCACACTGCTATTTTAATTTCACGCTACACATCCTGGACCCAGCTCTCAGAATAGAAGCGTAATGATTTTGTGCTTTACTGCGACACGTTTGTTCTGATCAGCTGGTTCACAGCGAACAGCTTTTACGTAACCGGATTATGTAAATGTCACGTTCTTCCTAATATCCAAGATGACTTCAGGGTAAGTGAGCGTGATATTATTCAGTTTGTGAACTTTGCCTTTTCTGTCTTCCGTCGCTCTTTGAATTTACAGCATCTTTATGTGAGGAAACATCCCACACGCTCCCCGAGCATCGCAATGCTGACAGGAAAGATGGCAGAGGAGAAAAACGCAAGTTTCACCACAAACTAGTTTCCACGTGAAACGAGGGGAAACACGCAAATGCAGGACGCTCAGAGAAAGAGCAAAAACAACAAAGGTCCGTGAAGAACACGAGGGATGTTGGAAGGCCTGGAAACCGAGCTAGATCTGAACAAGAGCCTCACGGCACTTAGGTACAGCAAGTATCTAATAAGCCAATCACGTGGCAGCATTTAGGCACGCAGACGTGGAGAAGATGACCCGG